AGGCACCCGTCCCTTCAGCACCCACGCGCGAGAGCCCAGCACAGGTGCAGAACCACATGTTTACTACTCTTGCTCATGCGGGGAAAGTATAATCCACTCCAAACGAGAGTCAGAAGCACCGAGAATTGACCTGAGTGGACCGCAGGCCGACAAGGAAGCCGATGGCTCCAAAAGACTCAGACCGATGATCCACTTCCCATCAGCTCTGAGAGTCAATTTAGCATCCGAACGGATGAGAGATTTGTAAATGGCTTAACCGTCGCACTGACTGAGTTTACCTTTAGCATGACAGTGGCGCTAGTTACCACTACGCTATGCCCGTCTGCGCATATATAGAGTAAACCACAAATAAATCAGCCTATTTATTGCACCGCTCAAAAATTGCGGCAAGCGCCATGGGACCGACAGAGCAAGCGTTTTTTGCACAGTCCGTTAAAAAAATGTCCAACTAATCTCCCACGTATCCGGAGCATGAGATTTAGGAAATCTGAACACTGATTTAAGACATACTGCACTTGAATGTGGGGCGTGTCACAAAATTTTAACCTGCTTGGTCGGGTCGCCGAGAAAAATATCAGCGTGGATTTCCCACGCGCTCGTGCATGAGACGTCGGCGGAACGAGAAGGCTGATTTTACACATTTGCGCTTAGGTTGGTAGGTCGAATTCGTAAAATTTCAACTCTCTAGCAGTTTTGGTTACGCAATTCCAAACTTTCAACGTCAGCATTTGTGTGTCCAAAGATGAGATATAAGGATGAGAAAGCTCAATTTGGGTTGCAGATCCATACAGGGACAACAAACACCCTACGATTTTTTACCCAATCTGTCTTACGAGTTGATGCAATGTCAACAGTTTCTCAGTTCAAAATTTGTTCTGTTCATACGCGAGAACAGGTAGTGAATTTTAATTTTTTTGGTCGCAAATAGACAAGAAAAGTCACAGTAATACTTTAACTTTCTAATCTGTCTGATTCCCGAAGTCACTTTCCCACGAAAATATCGTGCGTGAGGACGAACAGGACGTGCACGCTCATTTTGGACCTAGAAATCCGCTCACAGAAATGGACCAATTTGCC